TGTGTGTGTGTGTGTGTGTGCACGTGTGTGTGTGTGTGCGCGCGTGTGTGTGTGTGTGTGTGTGTGTGTGTGTGTGTGTGTGTGTGGAGATCTGTGTGAAACACATTTACTTTTTATTCCCAGCATGGTACCATACTGGCGATGCGCGATCCCATCACAAAACCTCAGGAGGAGAATACTCATCTGAGTGTGTCAAGTCAATGCATAACCCTCGAAGTAATATGACCAAAAAGCAAAAACAACAAAGACAGAGATGCACACACAGAAAGGAGCAAGGCAAAAGGCAGGGAGGCACTGGGTTGAATTACACAAAGAAGCAAAGCACTAAGGCTGGAGGGCAAGGAGAGACGGGTGGGTAGAGAAGCACCACGCAGCGATGCAAACCGCACGAGGCAGCAAAGCAAATAGGGTGGAGGTCATGGGGGAGGTGGGTGGGGAGACGAACAGCCCAACACAGGGAGGGAAACGACATAATCGAGCCAAAAAACACCAAGGCAAAAACCGCAACCAGAAAGACGGACCAAAAACAAGGGAAAAATAGCAGTGATGATGATACGACTGTTTCGTCAGAGTTGCAACCAGAAAGACAGACCAAAAACAATCCGCAGAATAGCCATATTGATGCTTTGGGTCATGCCCCTTCTTGAAAGCAGACTGCCAGCAAGCACCACCACAGGCCAAACATAGCAGCAGGCAACAACTAACTGAAGCACCAGGCAGCAACACTGCCAGGGCGACCCAACTGCACAACGCCAAAGCTAACTTTTGGTGCGAGTAAGTGATGAATGACAGTGCAAGCCGGCGAGCAGCAAGGCAACAACACAACAATGTACAACGTACAACGCACCGCTGCAAAGCGGCCAAACTGCATGGCACACATGCGAAAACCACGGGAAGACAAGGCACGAGGATGGGCAGCAGGAAACCATGCAGCAAATCGCAAGGCAACACTAACAAGGCAACCAGACAAACAGTAGGGAAAGACTTGGATGCCAAAGGACACAGACATCCTGAACCGAGCGGCCCCCCTTAGAGTGCCACAGGCAGGAGGAGGAGGAGGAGGAGGAGAAGAAGAAGAAGAAGAAGAAGAAGAAGAAGAAGAAGAAGAAGAAGAAGAAGAAGAAGAAGGGAGGAAGGAGGGGAGGAAGGAAGGAAGGAAGGAAGGAAGGAAGGAAGGAAGAAGAAGAAGAAGAGGGGTAGTAGTGAAATGTGCAGTTAATCTCCCATCACTCTAGCCAATGCCCAGTTACTCTTAAAAAATGACTCAGAGCATACTCACACTTCTTCTTTTAGAATCACCCTGACCGTCAGTGTCACCAGATACACGCAAGAAAGTGATAGTGTGAATATGGCCTCAGTGGCGAAACCTATATTACAGCCGAAGCTACTCCTGGAGCTAATTCCTGGACAGAAGTGGTGTCAGGCATCACGGCGCCACCACCGTGACAACAACGAATCTAAAACACCCATGCCTGCTAACCATTGCAACATTTTCTCTCTAGCTGTGTGGCAAGCGTTGATCTCCACTTGCTACTACTCTCTGACTCTACTCCCTCCCTTCTAAATGGGAAGTATTGATCAGCACTTGCTCCACCCCTTTCCCCTGTTTGCTTTTCCTTCCTCTGCGCTTCCCTCCTCCTCCCCTACCTCCTCCGCTCTGATTCTCTTTACAAATATATATGACAAATTGGTTTAATAACACCAGCACCCCACTGACCTTGATTGATTGATTGATCGATTGATCGATTGCTTGCTTGCTTGCTTGATTGATTGATTGATTGATTGATTAATTGATTGATTGATTACATTGGCCCATTGGACTCTGCTCAGGTCGCAAAACAGTCATAAAAAAAATACCTCCGTTTTGCGGTGCTGCGAAAAACCTTCAGCAAGTTTAAAGCAGACTCCAACAGACACGACACCTGCACAGAATGCATCGTCAGAGAATGCTCTGCTTGGATTTGTCCGCCAACAACCTGCTCGTGGAGGCATCAGCTCATTTTTCATCTTCGTTTCGCTCATACAATGCCGGGGATGTTTTCTTCATCATCCGCAGGCTGATCTAAGAGAGAGAGTTCAGTGCAGCTGCTCCAGCCTTGCAACTGCAGCAACTGCCCCACTAACTTATGAGGCTACAGTTTTCGAGTAATCTCTCGCACCGAAGATAGTGGATCCGATTCGAACGTTGGTGCTGCCCATCTCGACCGCCTGCTCAAAATCTCCAGACATCCCCATGCTGAGCCCGCAGTGTTCCTTCCCCAGACCTAGCTCTTGGCAGACATGTCGCCGGCACTCTTGCAGGCAATGAAAGTTCTCCGGTCTGGAGGAGTAGTCGAGCATCCCAATGGTCATCAGCCCAGCAAAGCGCAAGTACGGACACTCTTCAACAACATGCTTGACCAAGCCCACGCACTCGCTCGGCTCCACGCCATACTTCGAAGGCTCGCCGCTCGTGTTCACTTGCACCATTACACGCAGTCGCTCCTGCCTAGCGGCACTGCTACACGCTCGATTGAGATGGTTGGCGATCTTGACGCTGTCCACGGTCTCAACCGTATGCAAATTAGGCACCTCCGCAATGAGACCCTTGGCCTTGTTGCTTTGGAGATGGCCGATGAAGTGCCAGCGTATGTCACGAGGGAGCAAAGGCGCCTTCTCCACAATCTCTTGCACGTAGTTCTCGCCAAAATCGCGGTGACCAGCATCGTACGCCTCCTGTATCATAGAGACCGGTTTTGTCTTCCCAACGGCGACAACAGTAATCTCCTTGTGTGACCTATTGGCCCTCTCAGCAGCACGGGCAACCCGTGCCAATGTATCACGCAGCGACCGAGCCACCATGCTCTCTGCTGCGCTTGCTGCCATTCTCTCTCTCTCTCTCTCTCTCTCTCTCTCTCTCTCTCTCTCTCTCTCTCTCTCTCTCTCTCTCTCTCT